TTTCTTTCTTTCTTTCTTTCTTTCTTTCTTTCTTTCTTTCTTTCTTTTTCTTTCTTTCTTTCTTCTCTCCCCCACCACCCTCTACCTCTCACTCTCTCTTCCCTCCCTCTTTCTTTTTGCTTTCTTTCCCTACAGGTCCTGATCCCAGTTTTCGCTCTGGGCCGGGCTCAAGAACTCTGCATTTTGCTGGAGACCTTCTGGTAGGCAGCAATCCTTGGTCTTTTGCCTTAAATCCATTGCTCTTTCCCCGCTGAAAGAAGACCCATCCTGCCTGTAGGAACCTTCAACTCCCAAGCATTGTGGTTGCTTTATAGCAGCAGGGGTGTCCAGCCTGGGCAACTTGAAGGCTTCAACTCCCAGAATTCCCCAGCTAGCCATGCGTTAAATCCTCCTCTCCTTTATCCCATTTAAAGCCGAGTTAAGGGAGGAACTAGCTTCGTTTGTAACTTCATCAATAGCGCAGAACATGGGACGGGAGTGGCGCCACGCAAAAAGAGCAAACGGAGGCCGAGTTCTCACTTTCTGCCCCACCTTGGAGTGCGAGAGTCACGCGCTTTTGTCTCCCTTTTCCCACCCGAGGGAGCGCATGAACTTGAAGGCGCCCATCTACTTCTCAACGGGCCTGACGGAGAAGGCAAACCACTACTACAAGCTCTTCATCACGTGGACGAATCAGAAGATCCGGAAAACCTTTGTCCAGAGGAACATGTTTGAGTTCAAGCACATCAAAGCCTTTGAGAGGACCTACGTTGACAACCCTGGGCCCATGGTACGGATGCAGAGGCGTGGGCGGGGCGGCACTTAAAACCACGGCACGCTTGTGGGATGGGCCAGAATAGGAGAATTTGCCATGGCTCACCACAGCCAGTTTGCAGAGCGATTCAACAGTTCGACTCAATTATTGAAAGTAATTTTAAAGAATGCTTTTAATTTTTGTCACTCACGTTTCATTTTGTCTCTTCTTTGGCATCCTTTAATTATTATATCCCACCATTGCGTAAAATGAGGACCCAGATTGTGGGGGGGCAAATATGCCGACTCTGTAAACCGCTTAGAGAGGGCTGGAAAAGGCCTGTATTGCCCATTTTTTCAATATTAACGTAACTCTTGTCCCGCAGTGAATTGGCCATGGCAAATTGTCCCGTAGCGGTGGCAAGTTGGCTGAGGCAAGTCATTCTAGGCTCAGATTGGCCAGGGAGGGACCATTATGAAACCACCAATTTAATCTTGGATGGGTTGATCTAAGCTCTTCCCTTCACACCCCAACTAGGTTGTGTTTGCTACGCCAGGGATGCTGCACGCGGGCCAGTCACTCCATATCTTCAAGAAATGGGCCGGCAACGAGAAAAACATGGTAGGAGAAAGACAGCAAGTCTACCATTAAGAAACGAATTGCCCAGAGGTTGTGTGATCCAAACTCTGCTGTTTTAACTCTTGCGTGAAAGCGAATTCGCATTCTGTTGCCTTGAAAGTTCGCTTGTTTCTGTGTGTGTTTGTGTGGGGAGAGTTAGCTGCTATTTAGTTTGTATTCTCAAAGTCATGGCCTGCTGTAATTTCCTTCTGGCTTTTCTCTCCCCAGGTCATCATGCCAGGGTATTGTGTCCAAGGAACGGTGGGCCACAAAATTTTGGGCGGGCAACGGAAGCTAGAAATGGAAGGAAGACAAATTGTGAGTTGAAACCCTCTGGGACAGGGTGGTGTGTGTGTGTATGTCCAAAAAAACTTACTGATGTTAAGGATCTCTGCTTTTTAAAAATTGGGACAGTTGTTTATTTTATTCTTTTTTAAAAAAAGGAGATGGATTGTAATCTGTACTTCCTTACTTTACCATCAATGAAACATTTGTGGAGCGAAGGGATGCAGTAAGGTCCAAAACTACAATCTAAAGTGGGGGACAGAATTAAGTGTTGAAGAAATCTTGGCGGTCTCAGCACAGTTCTTTGCTCCTGACTAGTTTGCTACACGTAGGGAGAGTTTTTTAAAAGTAGAGAAACGTTCTAAATCGCACAAAAGCAGAGGTTGTCGGGCTTGAAAGGGCACTCAGGAGGGCTGGGGTGCTGATTTTTTCTTTTCTTTTTCTTTTCCCTCCTCTGCCTTGCTCCCCAACAGCTGGAAGTGAAGATGCAGGTGGAATACATGTCGTTCAGCGCACACGCCGACGCCAAGGGCATCATGCAGCTGATTCGGCAGGCCGAGCCCCGCAACGTCCTGCTGGTCCACGGCGAGGCCAAGAAGATGGAATTCCTGAAGCAGAAAATCGAGCAAGAATTCCGTAGGTGTTCCAAGGATGATGGGATTTGTTGTTGTTGGGCAGCCTTTTGTGTCCCCCCCCCCGAGGTTCGCCGGGGGCTTCTTGAAACACAGAAAGCCCGAATGGGTTTGTCGCAGAAGAAAGACGGAGGGGCCGAGAAGGGTACCCAGTGCTGGTTCGCAAGTGGGGTGATTGGCTGGTTTCCTGATTGAGTTCTGCCTTTCCTGGGAGCAGCAGTGACGCTGAGCCATGGGGGCGCAGCGGTTAGACTGCAGAATTGCAAGTTAATTCTGCCCACACCCAGGAGTTCGATGCTGACAGGCTAAGTCGGCAAAGACTCATTTCTGGCGGAGTTGGGGGGGAGAGAAAGAAAAACTTATGCGGCTTCTGCTGCTTTCCTTGCATGAAGCCAAAAGTCTCTCTCTCTCTCTCTCTCCCCCTGAGAACAGAGCTTGGGATGGTATCCTGCAATCCCAAATAAAGAATGATTGATTGGTAGGAAAATGGGGTGGGGGAATTTTCTTGCAGATTTTGGGGGGCATTTTTCCCAGGGTCTCCGGTCCATGGGATTTAAAACGATGAGTTTGGTAGTCCCTGACGCCCAAAAGGTTGGTGACCCCTGGCCTGGATTATGGCTAAGGCACTCACCAGCCTTTTCAGGCTGCAGTTCTTCTCTTCCTCCCTGGGATCAGACCAGGGATCAGACCAACAAAGCTAACGAAGACCAACAAAGCTTTCCTTTTCCTTTGCTTGCAGGGGTTCAGTGTTACATGCCTGCCAATGGGGAAACGGTGTCTGTTTTCACCAATCCTAACATCCCGGTGGATATTTCTCTCGGGCTGCTGAAGAGAGAGCTGGCGATTGGTAGGTTTCATGGGACAAAACCCTCATTAATATCAGGGGGAGGAAACAGGTCTTTTGCTCTGGGCACAGCCTCCCCCCCCAACTTGGTGCTTCCAAAATAGGTTGGGCCGATGGGAGTGGTAATCCAACTGCCTCGGAAGCAGTGGTGGTCTTCAGCCGGTTCTGACCAGTTCTGGAGAACCGGTAGCGGAAATTTTGAGTCATTCGGAGAACCGGCTAATGCCATCTCTGACTAGCCCCACCAACCCCGTGGGGCCATGGGGTGAAGTAACCCTGGACTTTGGAATATGTTGGAAAAGAGACCCTGGAGACTGTGGTGCAGGGAGGGAGGATTGGAGGTGGCCCTGCCCTGACAGCCACCCTCCACTACAGCCTCCAAGGGGCCAAAGGACACGGCCTGGAGGGGAGGAATTTGGGGACCAGGAGCTGGAAACCCAGAGCCCCCCAAAACTCGACGTTTCTTTGTCTCTCTAGGACCCTCACCGGCCTCCAAGAAGCCGAAGCTGTTACATGGCACCCTGATAATCAAGGATAATGTGAGTGAAGGAAAAATCCCACCTTGCTTTTTCCCAGGGGAAGGGATGTATATGCCTCTGAGGATGTTAAGCCCGAGAAAGGAAGGCTTTAAAAAGACATTACTTAATGTCTTCAGAGGCCCCAAGTCTTCCTGTTGGGTAAATACATACTGCCAAAATGGGGAGGAACCAGCAGTGTCCGACTGGGTCTCCTTCCCAGCCAGCTTAGTACGAATCTTCATGCAGTGTAGCTCCCCCTCCCAATGCTTGGTAAGTTTTCCTACCTCCAACCTCACCTGGTACAGAGGGGACAAAATCTCAGCCACCTTGTGAAGTTTTGCCCTGGCCAAGTGGCCAGGGGGAAATCTCACGCGGCCTTGTGCCTCCAGAGGAATGAGCTGGCGTCCCCAGACAGGGGCTGCAAGTGTCTGGGTGAAAGGAATTCCACAGAGAAGGAAATCTGTGGGCAGCGCAGTCCATGACACAGAAACGGTGGTTGCCGACTCAGGAATAGCTAACACCCAAGAAGACAGGCTCAAGATCCAGATGGAGCTTGACAGACTAGAACCCTGGGCCATATCTAACAAAATGAAATTCAATGTAATAATAGAAAGATAAAAATATCTTCTATTACATATATTAGCAAGAATTTCATATGCTCAGTACTGGAAGGAAAACTCCATACCACCAGAAGTTTAATAATAATAAAAAGTTTAGAGCGTGTGTGGAAATGGGTAAATGAACTGTGGAATTAAAAGGGAAAACAGACACAGAATACAACGTAGTATGGGAAACATGGTTTATTTGGATAGATAATAGATATAAAAATAGAAAATGTAAATAATGTATATAATAAATAAGAGGGTATGAAAATATTACGCATTGTAAGTTTTGATAGGACACATAAATGTATATATAATGTCACAGCACTGTTTAATAACTGTTGATATTACGTATAAATGGAAAAAAATTCAATAAAGCATTATTTAAAAAAAAAATTCAGTGTAGAGAAAAGGAAAGTCCTACACTTAGGCAAGAAAAAACAAAAGGACACATATAATAGACTGGGTGAAACCCGGCTCAATAGCAGTAACTGTGAGAGGGATCTTGGAGTCTTAGTGGACAACCAGCTAAATAGGAGCCAGCCGGGTGCAGCAGCAGCCAAAGAAGCCAATGCAATCCTAAGTTGCATTAACAGAGGGATACGGTCAAGATCAATACCACTCTGTAAAGCCTTACTAAGACCACACCTAGAGTATTGCATCCAGTTTTGTTCACCACATTATAAAAAAGATGTCGAGACTCTAGAAAAAGTACAGAAAAGAGCAACCAGGATGATCAGGGGACTGGAGATTTAAAACATATTAAGAACGGTTGCAGGAACTGGGCCTGGCTAATCTAGGGAAGAGAAGGACCAGGGGAGGCAGGAGAGCAGCCTTCCAATATTTGAGGGGCTGCCCCAGAGAGGAGGAAGGGGGTCAAGCTATTCTCCAAGGCCCCCAAAAGCCAGACAAGGAACAATGGGTGGAAACTGACCAAGGAGAGATTCAACTTGGAAATAAGGAGAAACTTTCTGACAGTGAGAACAACCAACCGACGGAACAGAAGTTGCCCTCGGAAGTTGTGGGAGCGCCATTACTTGAGACCTTCAAGAAGCGATTGGACTTCCATCTGTCAGAAATGGTGTAGGGTCTCCCACTTGGGCAGGGGGTTGGACTAGATGACCTATCAGGTCCCTTTCAACTGGTTATCTGTTTATCTGATTTCTTTCCTCTCCCGTGGGGAGCGAGATTTCCTGTCCTGCAGCCTTTGGCCCTCAATGCTGCAGCGCGTGAATGGTAAAGGGTTCTTCTTTGCTCCTTTTTCCTTACGGACAGAGTTTCCGCTTGGTTTCTCCTGAGCAAGCCCTGAAGGAGCTGGGCCTGGGGGAGCACCAGCTGCGCTTCACCTGCCGGATCCACTTTCAAGACCCCCGCAAGGAACACGAGACCGGCCTGTGTGTTTACAACCACCTGAAAAGGTGAGTGCGCTCGGGGTAGGGTCTGAACCAGGGAGGGAGAGGATTGGTAGGAGCCGCAATCTGCCCCACCTCGAGGACTTGAAATTCGGTTTGGTTGGAAAGAGAGAACTCACCTTCGTTGAAATCCGCCTCGATATCTTGTCCCGTTAAATGACACTTGGAATAGACGAGACAAATGGGATTTAATTGAAGCAGGTATCTTGGCCTTGTCAAGGTGCTGTGGCCTAGAAATGGAGCTCTTGCCTTCCAATCAGGAGGCTGTGAGTTTCATCCTAGGCAGATATTTCTCTCTCTGGGCACAGTGAGAATATATCTGCTAAACAAAACTCCGCATTGGGGACGGGAAGGGCAGTCGGCCAGTAAATACTCCGTTAGCTCCGTTCAGTAGCCCAGGCTCCACCCCGCAGGGGATTATGGGGTCATTAAAGGACAGTGATGATCTTGGGAAGAGAAGCAAGTTTGTGAGGAGTGGAATCAGTCTTTGAGGCTCCGTGAAAAGTCTGGGAGGGATTCAGCTCGCGGCCATTTTCTCCCCCAGCGCCTTGAAGGATTATTCCGTCCAGCATCTCTCAGACACCTCCATCATGGTGGAGTCCATCTTGATCCAGGTTACGGTGCAGTCTGAGGACCCCGCCACCAAACTTCTGCTGGTGTCCTGGACATACCAGGTAAGGTTTTAAATCTGGTTTGATGAGGGGAGACGTACCAAGGGGCGGCTGAAATGTTAAGTCTGGCTTCATTTGTTAACAAGAACTTCTGAGTGTCAACTAAAAAGATGCTCCTTTGGTCTTTTTAGCGGCCAGAAAAAGGGAGTGCGAGAAAACAAGGCATTCCTTAAATGCCTAGATAATCACCCCGGCAGCCCAAAGCTGTCGGAGCGTAAGAGGGTTATCGGAGAGCATGATGGATGACTCTTAGAGAGGGATGTGTCCCATTGGAGAAGTCCCATCCAGGGGGTGGAGGGAAAACCAGGGTCAAGGGGGAAATGGATGATGGGATTTAGTATCGGCTGCACCCAGCTAAACACCAACATGGCCCCTTCTAATAAATCAATTTTCTTTTCTCTGAGATGTGGCTAGAGACTTTTGATTTGAATGAGGGTGAATTTGTTGGGAGCCCTGACAGCCAGCCAGTACTAAATTACTGCGTAGTTTCCAGCTGCCGGTGATCTATACCTTGTAGCACCCCAATAGTCTGCCTACGCGAATCTGGAAGCGGCCTTCCCCAATATAGGTTTTTTCCCCTCCAAAAGTTCAGGACTTCGTTTCCCAGAGTCCTCAGTGAAGGTCACTGAGGGATTCTGGGAGTTGAAGTTCACAAAGCAAGGGCCACAACAGGTGATCCTTAACTGGCCACTGTTTGTTTAGTGACTGTTCGAAGTTAGGGCAGCACTGAATAAAAGTGACTTAATGGCCGTTTTTCCATGCTTACGACCATTGCAGCACTGTGGTCATGTGATTAAAATCCAGGCATTTGGCAAACTGGATCCTCCGCGACACTTGTTTGCAACCTTCTGACCATCCAGGTTAATGGGGAAGACAGATTCACTCCACAGTCGTGTTACTCACTCACTTAGCAGCTGTAGCGCAAGAAAGGTCGTAAAACGTGGCCAAACTCGACTCACCAGCTTAGCAACAGAAACGTTGCACTCAATTGTGGTCGTCAGTCAAGGACTAGCCATATTGAAACCCCGGTTCTGGGTTCTGTGTGCAGGATGAAGAAATGGGGAGCTACGTCACGTCTCTGCTGAAGAAAGCCCTGCCTCAGATTACAGGATGAGCCTCTGGGGGCCTCCAAGCTGCTGCCAGAGACCTTTAGCTACCGAGAAGGTTTGCGCACGAGGCAAGTTGTGTGGGTTGACAGAGAAGGGGGAAAAAAAACAACTTTTATTGTATGGTTTGAGTCGTCGCTGGGGGTTTGGGGGAATTTCTTACCCATCTTCCCAGCCCTTTTTCTCCTCTTAGCCCGCTTCCCAATCCTCTCATTTCATCTTCCCTTCTGTCTATCTGCCTCCTCAATCCTCTTTCCTTTTCCTTTTTTCCTTTTGGTCCACCTGCTTTCTGCCCAAACAATACGGCCTCGTGTTCTCCTGTGCCAAGAGCTGCGTGCCCCCCAAAACACAACATTTTGGGCACAGGACACTTCTGCGCGCAGGACGATCCCTGCCCCAAATATGAGCCTCACCCCCTAGAAGGAGCAGTGTAAATACTCGTGTTTCATCTCTTCTGTTTTAATAAAGACTTTTACTTTTGGTATTATTGGTCCTCCTGGTCACGGGTGGCCAGCCTCCAAGACCCAGACATATCTTGTGAGAAAACGCCCTTGATCCAGGGTTAGAAATAGTCTCACCAGGCCTCATAATCAAGGAACAAGGTTCAGATCTCTTCCGTTACACCTTGAGACCTTCCAGAGCCTCAATATCAACTCTGTATTTACAGGGATTAAAGGCACTTTGGCTGTCCTAAAACAAAACCTCAGTTGCTGTTTAGCTGAGGGAAATGCTGCAGGAGAAACCCGATCTGTGTCCTTGTTTCTCTCATCCAGACAAAACCTACACTCCACCCTCCCAAAAGCTTCATTTAAAGTAAACAACCTCTTCGCTTTTTCAACGTAGCCATTTTAAGCACACCCGCCCCTCTCAACCAAAGCCAATACTCTTATTTTAAACGTCCCACTGATTTTTGGAAAGCCAGACAGGAAGTAGCCCCTCTCCAAAGCCCAAACTTGGAACCCTTGGAAATTAAACCTTTTGCCGAACGACACCCCCGGTGAACTTGCTTGGCGCCCCCATCCGTATCGCCTCGTTGGCAGCCGGGCTCAACGCCGCTCTCTGGTTGGGGCGTGGTCTGCGGCCCCCGCTAACGGTGTAGACCTTGGATGTTCGTTTCTGCCAACGCAGCTGGCAGGGCCACCGCTTGTTGACCAAGGTGTAGTAGTACAAGAGAGGGTTCAGGCAGCAGTTGACGCTAACCAGGGCTAAGGTGACCCGGCGGAGCTGGTAGATGGAGGAGGCCAAGGGGCAGTTCTGGATGAGGCCGAGGCGCATCAGGAGGTGGAGGAGGTGGGTGAGGTGGAAGGGGAGGAAACAGAAAACGCAGATGAAGAGGATGAGGTAGATGGTGTTGAGGGCCTTCCTTTTGAAAGCGCTCTCCGAGATGTGGGAAATTCGCCGGGCGATCAGAGGGTAGCTGATCAGGATCACCGCGAAGGGGATGAGAAACCCGAAGACGAGCACGCAGACGTTGTAAGGTAGCATGCGCTTCTTCCAGGAGGCTTCCCCAAAGCTCTCAAAGCAGACCTGGGCGTGGCTGACGTTGGCGCTGAGGGGGCCCCCCAGGACCAGAGAGCTGGCGACGCCCAGCCCGACCGCCCAGAGGATAACGGCGATCAGGGCGTAGTGGCCGCTCTTGACCCGCACGTACGCCAAGGGGTGCAAGACGGCCATGTAGCGGTCGATGCAGATGGCGGTGAAGAAGGCCACGCTGAGGTAGATGTTGAGGAAGTACATGCAGCCCGTCACGCGGCAGGCCATGTCCCCGAAGGCCCAGTTGTTGCGGTGGAGGTGGTAGTGGATCTTGAAGGGCAGGATGCAGACGAACAAGGTGTCCACCGTGGCCAGGCTGAGCAGGTAGACGTAGGAGCGAGGCGGGCGCGGGACCCAGCAGGTCAAGAGGTAGAGGGCGGCCCCGTTCTCCAGCAACCCCAGGACGAAGACGGGGATGTAGACGGCAGGGAAGAGGAAATACTGGAAGTCGGCCCGAAGGCTGCACCCCTGGCTGGCGTTGGCCGCCGTCTGGTTTTCCATCTCCTCCCGGAGCAGGATTCGTACCCCCGGCCTCGTCTGCCACAGGACGCCTCTCAGCCCATCGTCACGCCGGGAGCAAAGGCAGCCGGACGAGCTCAGCTCTGCAGCCAGTCAGCTTGGGAAAAAGGGGGGGGAGCCAGATTTGAGGAAAGCGCTTTGCAAAATTTTAAAAAGAATTTTTTTTAAAAAAAAAACAAAACCACCGGCTGGCTGCATTCCTGCGGTTGGGATTGAGCTAGCCTGACTTTGGCTCATTTTTTGGTGAGAGAGGGCAAACCACAGCTTAGCCAAAGTACTGGAAAAGCTAAATGCCCTCCCCAAAAAAGTCTCTAACCCTCTTTAGACGTCGGACATCCCCAACCACGGTAGCCTTGAGAAAGCAGGAATTGCACCCGTTCGCGGAGAAGAAGGAAGAAGCTCCTAGCAAGTTTTGGGGCAAAGTTTTCAGGACTGTGAAAATCTTTAATGGGGGTAGTGGGGTGGGGGGGAGAAGTAAAGAAAGGATGATAGAAACTCCCAAATTGTGGCAAGAGGTTTATTTTAAAAGGAGCCTTTGCGCATTTTCATCGCCATTAAAAACAAAACACACACACACACACACACACACACATTAAAACTTACCGGTTTGCATCTGTCTTTAGCCCTCCTGGCATTTTATGAAGCTCTCTGAGCTTACTTTGGTCTCCTTTTGACTTTTAGGAGGCTGCCTTCCCCTGCCCTCCCCCTCACGCGTCAGCCTTTTGTGCAGGAAGCAGGGGAGAGTCACTTCGTTGCTGTGGTTTGCAAAAGCGCAACCGAGGCAGCAAGAAAATGCACAGATCAGTGTTGCGGGGGTGACATTTCACCCCCACCCCCACAAGATTTAAGAGCAGAAAAAGCAACGTATTTATAGAATTTATGAGATCTCCATCCTGATAAGGGGAGGTGGGGAGTGAAAAGACAGCAGGAATAATAACGGAATGAAAGATTCACTCTTTCCACTGCTGTCAAGTGTTTTGACGTGTAAAAGCGCGATCAAGTCTATATTCTGCTTGAAAGAGAGTCTTTAAAAAAGTCTTTGGCAAACTCCAACCCAGCGTGGTTGTGTGGCACAAGTGAAAGCTGGCAACGGTTTGTACTTTGCTGGTGGCTGGTGGTGGAGGGAAAGCAAATTCTGTACCGAGCAGCAGTTTCTTGATTTGTTACTAAGGACTAGAGACTTAAATTCAGCTGAGGATCTCAAGATGGTACTTGACCTGGGGACGAATTATGGGCAGAAGACTTGAAAGGTGAGGCCCTTAAGGCGGTATACGCTCGCAAAACAGGCACGGAGAACGCAGAAGTAGCCGTAAGAAGCGGAATGTCATGTCGTTCTCCAGGATTGTGGAAAATTAGTGCTACAAACGCTCATTAACAAAACTGCATGTATCTCGCCTGTTAGTAAGACAATTACTCAAGGATCTGCAATCCAGACTTCCAGATCTCATGGCCGATCCCAGATGGGTAACTGAAAAGGTGAGGGAGGATTTAAAAGGGAATTTTTTTTTTTTTGCTCTACTGAGTACATAAATACTGTTTTTGACTATGTGGGCTGCAACACAGCAGGAGCAGCCTTTTAAAAAGAGGGCGTTTTCAACAGCCCCCTCACCCCCCCATCTGCTTATCAGAGAATAGGAGGCCCAGGAAGCAATTAAATCTGAAATCATTTGGAGTCCGTTCCTTTCTCCGCTGTCCCGAAAAGGGATCGTCTCTCAGCACAGACCTACTCAAATTTCGGATTAGGTGGGTTTATTAACAAATGCCTGCAGAGCGTAAGAAAATGAGAATTTTTTATTTATTTATTTCCTCCGGCAACGTATATAAACCCTAGGCAGAAAATTAATGCTACACGTCAATCTTCGGTCTCCAAGTCTGCAAGACAACGAAGGGAGAAAGAAAACAAACTTGAGAATTACGGAATATCGGCAGCCGGAAGACGGAGCAGGGAAATGCTTTCAAGCTCATCTCGGAGACAACTTCAGACAAATCCTGGACGTCGCCCCCAATTCTGCCCTCCTTCCCCCCCCCCAATTGCAATATAGGGGAGATCACCCTCCCTGGCAGGGCTGCTGTTTGGGAGGACTGGGGTGCAAAAAACTTGAAACAGAAAAAAAAATATATTGTCAACTTCAGCCGTTGGAGCTGGTCCCAGGTGATCATGAGGACTAGAAACGAAACATCCTAGATGCTCACCAGTTTTGTCGTACTCCACATGCTTGAGGAAGAGTCCGTCCGGGGGTGCTATGGTGTTTGGGGGATAAGCCATCAAGTCCCGGGCTGCTAGGAGTTCTTGGATGTGGTGCGGTTGTAGCCGGGACTGGCCCACGGCTACCAGTGCCCCGACCATCCGCCTCACCTGGAAACGAGAAGGGTTGAAAACGCCAAGAATTCCAGAATCGGCACAACAATTGGGGCAAAATTGGGGATTGGAAACATGGAATTGGGAGGGTCCATCAGAAGCCATTTAGTCTGACCCCCACCCCGAGAAATAGCCATTTGATAGACGGAAAAGCCAACTTGGTTTATCTCAAATCCTCCTTTATCGGGAAACAAATTTTTCCTGAATCTTCACCCCAAGTCTATACTGGATCCCAGTTTATCCCCTCTTCAACGAGACTTCGCTTCTTGGGAGAGTAACACAGGTAGTCCTTGACTTAACAACTGTTCGTTTAGTGATCATTCAAAGTTTCAACTGCACCAAATAAAGTGACTTATGACTGTTTTTCACAGTTAACGACCATTGGGGATTGCGCGTGCATGCATGGAGGGGGGGCGCATTGCTTTCTGGGTGCTGGTGAAAGCACGCGCACAATTTTTGGCACAGGAGCCCAAAAAGGTTAGCCACCACCGTCCTACGCTAAGCAGCCCTAAGACCTTCCTCCCTGTTTGCGGCCCACAGGTCGTCTGCGGCCTGTTTAACAGAGCACAGAAAGCCCTGGTTTGCCTAAGGAGGCTGTGCAGTGTGAAAACACACCCCTCTGGCTCCTTTCCCTTCAGCTTACAAAGCACCACAACACGGCCACAAGCGAAGCGGTGACCCACCCACCCCAGATTCCCCCAAAGCTCCCAAGGCAGCCTTCCCCGCAGGGGCGTTGTGAAGGAAAAAGGTGCGCCAAGCGGCCTTCAACCCAACCCAAGGTCAGCTCAGTCAGTGGTGGGGATTCAAAAACTGGTTTGGTGGCTGTGCTTTGCGCGTGTGCGTACGCTTTGCATGCGCGTGCCAAACGCCCATTTTGCGCAGGCACCAGAGGTATTGCAATTCACCTCCTGCAAGCCTGCACTCTCCCGGTCACTTCAGCTGCTGCGCTTCAAAAGCTGCGCTTTAGCAGAGGCCAAAGGTGAGTATGGGACCCGAGGACAATCGCTTTGATCTCCGCTACTCATCGCCGCTACCTGGCTCAGTAGAACCGGGCCGCACCGTAGAATAGCCACCACTGGGCTCAGGGCTTTGGGGGAAAAAGCAGCTCAGCCAAGGAGGGCGAGGCTGCTACTCACCCGGGTCCCCTGGCGTCATTTCAACCAGCCGCCAAAGCTCAGCTCTTGCAGGTTGCAAACGGCCTCGTTGCCGCCCACTCGCCATTGAGGGAGGCAGTCGAGACCCAGGAGCGTTTTGGCAGCTGGTTGCGGAGCTATTTTCAAGCAAGCAGCAAGACTGTGTGTGTGTGTGTGTGTGGTGGGAATTGAAACTCCTGAAGGCTTTTTTCTTTTGTTTTTACTTTTTAGTTTTGCATGTACCGTCTGAAAACAGGCAGGCACTGCCAGCGGTGAGAGCCGCCGCCTCCTCTCCTTGTGGCTTAACTAAATTGTAGGCGCATGCTTCCATGAGAGCCAGCCTCCACTACCTCCCTCGCCTCTGAATCATCCACAGTGTGATTCATTTATTCTACCTAAGCATGCCTGGGGCGGGGGTCTGTCGAGAGGCACCCATCCGTATTCGCGGTGGGCTGTTTGCCAGATGGCCTCATGTGGGCCCCAAGCAAAACTCAGGGGCAAAATCCTGAGCCTGAAACTTCGTGGCGAAACCCTCATTTTGCGCTTAGGCCGATCCGGGATGTCAGCCTCTTGAAATCAGGTCGAAGGAGAGCCAGGGGGAGCTACTCTGGGGTGGGGTTCCCCCCCCCACATCTCTCCTCCCCAGGGGGGCAGGCTGTTTGCCCCACCCTGAGACGGCTGTGTTCACGCTGGATGAGGGGAGAATTTATGTTCCTGTCCCACCCCAAACATCGGGTGCAAAGGGGCCTCCAGCCGAACCTGTGCCATAGATGGGTGCATATAGAATAGAGTGGAATAGAATAGAATTCTTTATTTGTCGAGTGTGATTGGACACACAAGGAATTTGTCTTGGTGCAAATGCTCTCAGTGCACATAAAAGAAAAGATAACATTTGTCAAGAATCATCAGGTACAACACTTAGTGATAGTCATAGGGTACAATAAGCAATCAAAGTCTACTAGGAAACAGTCGATATGTGTGTTTCTCCTTCACTCTGGTGCTCCTCAGCCGTTCCCAAGGCCCTTTGGCTTCTCCCCTCCTCCTCCTCTCCCTCTTTCCCCCTCTCTGGGGTGGGCAGGTTGATAAACCCCCATAGTTCTAGGTCACCCCACTTAGACTTCTAGACCATCATGAGAAGATCTGCAGGTCCAGCTCTTTGGGGCAGATGGGAAGGTTGGAAACTTGGTTTGGCAGAGTGGGTCTCCCACAGAAGAATGCAGAGGCAGACCAGAGGGTTTGGGGGGAGGGTCCCAACCCCCAAAGGACCCCCCCCTTCCATGTGCTCAAGAAGTAACACCCTAGCCCATTTTAAGAGGGAATACAAGATTTTTCTTCTTGATCCTCCATCCCCATTTGAAACACTTTGGTTTATTTATCGCTTTACTTACTATTAAACTTGTATCCTATCCATCTCCATTTCCATTTCCTGGAGACGATCCATTAATTAGCACTGATGATTAATTAGCACCCAGCTGCCTTTTTGTGCCCCTTCCTCTCTCCGTTGAGGTTGGATTGACACCCCCTGTCTTCCTTCCTTCTCCAGGAGGTGAGAGGGCCGTGCCCCAACGGAGCCACCACCATCGGAAAGGAAACCGCTGCCTCGGGCAGAGTTGCAACGGCTGGCAAGAGGAGAAGAGGACGTGGTGGAAGACTTGGATTTTTCCGATGGAGACTGATGGATGGACAGATTTTTTGGGGGTGTAACTGGACAGCTGTTGCCACTTGTGGAGGGCCGAGGAAGGGGCTGCATTGTTCCAGCTGGCCCTGAAGCCCAGTTGATGCACTGGAGGGAAATGCCAGAAAATTTTATCCTCCAGCAGGGGAGGTTAAAAAGACCACAATGGGTGCAAAAAAAACCCCTGCCTCTTTAGAATAATAATAATGGAGGTTCTTAACACCATTTCAAAACAAAACCTTCTTAAAAAAATAAATAAAAAGCCAGGCCAGCCTTCAATGCTGCCCCTTCCTCTTCTGGAGGCCAATCCCACCCACCCAGCGCTGGAGATGCAGAGATGGAAGACCAACGTGCCACCACATTTTGTGGCTTGGCTCTTGTCCTGCCAAGTGACCTTATTTAAAACTCTTGGGACCAAACAACAGCAGGAAGAGTTGGACTGGCAGCACAATGCATGCTTTGAATCCCCCACTCCCCCCAATTCCCCCATTTCGATTTCTGTACGGGAAGGGATCGTGTGTGTCGGTTCTCGGCTTGTAAAAACAGCCTCTTGTGCATTTCTTTCGGAGGCCTGGATCACTCTGCACCGAAGCCGCAGCGGGCAAAACGGCCAGATCCCGATGGAGAAACGTTCTTCCCTGCGGCTTTTACTGCATTGTGACCCACGCACGCCTTTCTTGGCCCCCCTGGGTGGTGCCCACCAGGAACTGAGACCCCCCAACACACACACACTTGTTGCTTGAGGTCACCAGACAGATCAGGTCTAGAATAAGGAGTTAGTCTTATTGTTGGTCGTGAGTGGATAAGGAGTTAATAAGTCTTATTGTTGGTAGTGAGTAGATCCCCAATGTAGCCAGGATCTCTGTAATTTAAAGGGAGTCTTTTAAGTCGTATGCTTGGCTAAAGAACCATGTTTGGTGGTTTATGGAGATAGGCTTGAGGCCCAAGAGCCCTTAAGTGGTAAATTTAAGTGGTAAGCTTTAAGCTGTGGCTGGTAGGGTCAAGGAATCGTGGCTGTTGTTGTCAGCCTTTGCCTTGGGTAAGGACCACGAGGATTTATCTGGTAGGATTGTGTAGACTGAGTTCAGATGCTAGGACAGAGTTGAGGTGTCAGAAGAACTAAGATCAGCATTTCTCAATCTTAAAGTGAAGGTGTGTGGACTGCAAATCCCCGAATTCTCCAGCCAGTCGGTTTGGGGAATTGTGGGGGTTGATATCCACACATCTTGCTAAGGCCGAGGTCTCCAAACCTAGCAACTTTAAGACTTGTGGATTCCAACTCCCAGATTCTGGGAGTTGAAGTCCACAAATCTTAAAGTTGCCAAGTTTGAGGACCCGTATGCTAAGGGATGGGAAACCTTGATCTAGGAGGGTCATGTATACCACCACCCCCAGCCCCCAAGAAGGTCTGGACTTGAACTCTTGCTTTCAGAAAGCCAATTGGCTTTTGGAAGGCTGGACTTTAACTCCCAGAATTCTGCAGGAGGATTTAAGAATTGTGGGAGCTGTAATCCATCAGTTTGAAGATGCAACTTTCAAAGGGAGGGTTTTCAGCTCCCAGAATCCTTAGCAATGGTGGCCAGAGAAGCTTAAGATGTCCCATTTTCCCCCAAGACACCAGATGGCTGCAATTCAGTTTCCATCTTTCTCCATCCCGTGGATTGGAGAATTTTGGAAACTGAAATTCATCGTTCTTTGGAAGCTCACTTGGTGGAGGCTCCCCAATTCTTCTGAATTCTGTGTTGAGGACAGTTCACCACCCCACAGGGCAGAATCCTATCTCCATAGGATGCCCTATATAGTAGGGTAGTCTTGAAAACACTAGAAATTGAGGTCCTCTCCTGACCCCCAAGCACCAGATTGGCTGCTATTCAATCTCTGGTGTTCTCCAGCACACGGACTGGAGAATTCTGGGAATTGAAGTTCACCAAACTGGGAAGATGGGAGTCCCATGTTCTCAAGGTGGATTTCCCTTAAAAATCCCCAGAGCTCAGCAACAGGGTTGTAGCATTAAGTTAATGCCCCAAAATCCAGATGGAAAGTCAACAGGTGCGCTCCAGACTTCTCCAGCTGATTTTCTATATTCTGGGAACTTAAATACAAGTTTTTTTTGATTGAACTTAAGTCCCCAGAATGCTTAGCAAAGTCACTGGAGAATTGTAGGAAATTGAGTCCATCCATTGGGGGGGGCGGGATGTTGGGTGTTCTGGGGATGTGTCTTTTCTCCCAGAGCTTTCTGTACATTAGGAATTAGGAGGCTGGGGGGGGTCCACATAACAGCATAGAATTGAGGCTCCCCAGGATTCAGGGGTCTGAGGCTACAGAATTCTGGGAATTGAGGTTTCTTGACTTAATCTTTCCCCAATGGGTGCGCCTCAAACTCTTGAGGTCTTCCCTTGTTTTAGGGTCTCTCGGGGTTCTCGGCCTTGGCAAACTTAAGGCGGGTGGGCTTCAGCTCCAGTTAGAAGCCTGCATGACTTAAACTTGTCAAAGTTGAAAACTTTTTATGATGCAGGGTCTTAGTTCTGATTCATTGGGTGTCATGCAGGGTCCCTCCCCCCAATCTTCCCAGCAACTAGGCAGGTGAGCCAGAAAACCCAGGTGAGTCAAGTCTGCAGTTCCTCCCCTTGTTCTAAGCAGGTGTGCACAATTTATTCCAAATCTTGGAATTGAATTTCAAATAATATATGTGCATGCCTACTTAGAGCAATGGGTGCACAGAGAACATCTCTGTGCATGGTGGGTCACCCTCAGGAGGGTGGGGGAGAAAGGCCGGGAGCAGCCATGGCATCAGGGGGGCTGGCAGGGAGGCCCTAGGAAGGCCTGGGGCATCCAAGCCCCCCAGGGCAGCCCTGGGCACCCCCAGAGCCTCTCTTGCCAGCTGCTCTTGTGCCACGGTTGAAGCGGAGGGTTGGTGGGGGCTGGGGGAGGCCGAGAGGGGGGGCTGGGGTGCAGGGGGGCTGGGCAGAGAGCGGCTGCCCCATGTCCTGGGCTCTCAGGGTGGCAGTTTGGCCACTCCAAGCCGAGGGACACTGGGTGACCGTTCTCTGGCCCATCCCACCCACCCCATGTCCCATGGGCCTCCCTCAGCCCCCATCAATGCCTTTGGCTTCAATCCTGGCCCAAAAGGGGCCTGGGGGGGACAAGGGGGGTCCTGGGAGGAGGGGGGAGCACATAGCCCCCCCCCCCGTCTTTCCAGGACCTCCCTCCCCCTGGGCCCCTTTAAGCCAGGACTGACGCCAAAGGCAGGGGGGGGTGATGGGGGGGGGCAGGGAGGGGGATAGGGGAGGGGGGGTTGGGGTGGGGGGCTCAGGGGGGAGGGGTGGGTGGGCTGGGGATCAGAGGGGGGTGTATTGCTTGTTTTTTTTGAACTTTAATAAAGTTTGTCTCTTCTGCCATCCTGGGTGTTTCATTCCCCACCTACACCCCTCCCCCCTCCCCTTCCCCCCTCCATTTCCCTCCCTCCTCTGGCCCCTCCCATCTGTGGCCCCAAGGGGGAGGACCAGGGAGGGGCAGACCCTGGGTGCCCCCCCCCAGGTCTACTGGGCTGAGAGGCCCCTCCCCATCTTCCCAGGGCTTTCCTCTTCCCTCCCCTCCTCCCCCAGGAGGGCTGCTGGAGGAGCTGGGCAAGGCAGGCCCTGGAAGGAGGTCAGAGGCCGGCTGGGGAGGGGCTCCTTGCCCCCCTCCTCTCCTCTTCCCAGCCCCCTTGGTGCCATGCTGGCAGAGACTCAGCGGGGAAAGGGAGGCCCAGAGAGGTGGGGGGGGATTGGCAGGCTCTCCCCGGCTTTTCAGGGGAGGCCTTTGCCCCTGGCCTGCCAATCTCCCCACCCTCCAGCCCAGGACCTCCCATTCCCCCCATTGCCTGGCACCAGGGGAGCTGGGAAGGGGAGAGGGGGGGCCTTGGCAAGGAGCCCCTCCCCAGCCAGCCTCCAACATCCTCCCAAGAGCCTTCCTCTCCCCACCTCCACTTAGCCCCCAGCAGCCCTCCTGGGGAAGGGGGGGGGAGGAGGAAGAGGTGACGGCCCTGGGAAGATGGCAGGGGCCACCCCAACCCTGCAGACCTGGAAGGGGGGCACCCAGGGCCTGCCCCTCCCTACCTCGGTCCCCCCCTTGAGGCCAAAGATGGGGGGGGCAAGAGGAGGGAGGGAAATGCAGGCGCTGGGAAGACGGGGGGCTGCAGGCAGGCCGGCTCTTGGGGGGCTCTTGCCAACCCACTCTGGCTAAGGCCTGCCTGCCCCCCCATCTTCCCAGCACCTGTGCCCTCTACTTACCTGTCCTTACCTGTTCTCACCTGTCCTCGTTGTCCTCGTCGCCATCTGGTGGTTCCCACAACTGGTCGCACTTCTATTTCATACTTACCCCTTTGCTCTAAGGTGGCTGATGAGGCCAGGCTGGACTCCCAACTCCCAGAATTCCCCAGCCAGCATGCTATGCTATGCTATTTCTATCCCAACCTTCCAGATGGCCGTGGAGTGGAGACAGCTGGCTACTTAAGCCTCCTTTGGACTTTCCCGGGACTAAGAGGCTGCTCTCTCTCCTGCCTTTGCCACCAGAAGGGGCCTTTGGCACTTCAAATTCATTTTAAAATTTCAAAGTTAAGAGGCTGCCTCTCATATCACAGAAAGGCGACTTCCTCTCGGGACGAGAGGCAAAATGGTGAAAAAGAGCATGTAAACATATAGTGTCTAGTTGGAAAAAAATTATCCCTACCTGTTTGTACAGGAAGGATCGGCTTACAAACTCTAGTTCCCAAAACTTCAGGTTGCTGGGGGTGGAAAAAAAACACAACGGGCACAAAGGCAACATTAAAATCTAGATAGAAAGACGCTGATTTACTATCTATTTGTTAATTTTCTGTGTTGCCCATCCTCTCTACAAGGTGACTCCTTTTCCGTCCTTCCCTGGATCAGTGCAGGTTATCTGCTCAGGAATAGATCCTCTGTGGACAGAAGCAATCTACCTCTCAATGCAAGGAGGAAGAATAATCTGGAATTTAAGCCAAAGCCTCTATAAAATTGGGAAGAGGTGGTTGGATTCAGGAGATGGCAAGTCTGCCTGTCTTTTCACCTGTCAAGGAGTCTGCATTTATCTACAGACTGGGACTTCCTGGTCAAAACCAGGAAATCTTCTCCTTTTCCTTTCCTTTTCCCTCTCCAGACGGGACTAACGGAGAATTGTAGTTCTTGCAACCATGGGTTTCCTTTCTGGAGCAAACTGAAAACTTGCTGGGCTGGGATCCAGTCTCAAACCTGCTTCATAAATGTTTTACTAAGGCAGGGGAGAGATTTCAGGAAATGGCCTCTGAAATAACCTTCAGGTCTAGGAACCTGATTCCTTTTTAAGGCCCCCCTCCGTTTTTCATCATTTCAGCCACAGGCCAAAAGGGGGATTTTTGTTACACAATTCGGAAACGGGTGTGTGAACATGTAAGTTATAATTATGTACCAATGTTGTAATCCGGAATCATGTTGCTCACATGAAGAGATATGTAAAAAAACCAAAAATGAAAAGCTTTTATTAAAAAGAAAAAAGAAACATATGTGTGTGTGCGTGTGTGTGAAATCTTATCTTCTGCCTCAGTTTACCTCCTCGAACTCTTCCCTAACACCATTTTTAAAAATGCTTTTCGGACCGACTCGAACCTCGGCCGGAGCCCCTTCGACTGCAGCAACCACCAGCAAAACATTCCCACCCAAAATTCCCCTTCAAGGTCGTGGTGGGTTAATCCATAAGGGCTAAGAGGACACCCCGTGTAGAGGGGCAGTCTACCTGGGACTGCCCTGCTGCTGCTGATGCTGTTGGTTTGCCTTAACGGCGCGGAGCCGGCATTAGAAGAAACTTCGGTTAGATGATGATTTCATTCCCTGCTGACAATTTCTGAGCAGAGGCCGGGCAAAAATGTCCGTGGGTGGAGATGCCTCACCAGAGATAAACTGCCAACCCCGGAGAGAGCGAGAGAGAGATGGATCCAGGTAGGAAAAACTCCCTCTTGAAAACTCGTGGATCCAACCACGAGGACTTTTTCTTCCCGGATCACGTGGAAATGCCTCCCTCAATCACCAGGTGTCCCTCCTCCCACCACCTGTCAGGCTGAAGCAGCCCTGAAGGGAAGCTATAACCACCATGCAAATTCAAATCCATCCTTCCTCCTCCTCCTCCTCCTCCTGCATTCAGATGGCTTCCAGGTTTTTGGAATCCAGCCCTTAGGGTGGGACAAGCGGGGCCCCACCGGGAAAGAAAGCCCTCTGTTTAAAGTAAGACCTGACTTGGCCTGCTCGCGCAAAGGTGAGTTGCTTCAGGGTTGCAGGAACTGTACCCTCTTCCTGCAGGTAGAAAGCCAGCTCAACTCGCATTCGTCTTCCCAACAATAGCAATACCGATAGCACTTAAGACTTATATACCGCTTCACGGGGCTTTTAACAGCCCTCTCTAAGCAGTTTTACAGAGTCAGCCTCTGGCCCACAACCATCTGGGTCCTCGTTTGACCCACCTCGGAAGGACGGAAGGCTGAGTCATCCTTGAGCCTGGTGGGATTCGAACTGCCAAATTGTAGGCAGCTGGTAGTCAGCAGAAGTGGCCTGCAGTACTGCACTCTCACCACTGCACCACCAAAGCTCCAACAAGCTAGCTTTCTCTGTGCAGAGATGGAATCCTCTTTCATGGCTTTTGTGTGTGTGTGTGTGTGTTTGTGTGTGTGTTTGTATGTGTGTTTGTGTGTGTGTGTGTGTGTCTTGTGGCCCTGCCCACTCCTTACCAAACTCCTCCCACCACAAGCCCAGTCCGAAACAGTCACAAGACACCCGCTTTGGAGAACCACCCCAAGTCTTCGCCTTTCGGAAGCCACTCCGACGGACAAGTTTCTAGTCCTTAGGTTGGCAGCGAAGTTGGCAAACCCTCTTTGGAGTGTGAACTTCCTGACCCTTGAGCTTCAGGAAAATAGAAGAGGGTGTGGCTTTCAGAACCACGGAGAGGTCTTGTACCTTTTCTCATCTCACACTATGGCTAAATCCTTAAAAAAAAAAAACCACAACTCAATTTCTTAGATGCAAATTGCTTAACGCCAAACACTCGAAGGAAGATTTCTTCTCCTTGGGAGACGGGTTCATTTGAGAACTTCCTGGTTTCCTTTTTGGTCCATATTCGTCTTCTCCTCTCGCCTCCCCCTTTCCTGCTCCCGGACACCCCCTTCAAGATTGACGCTTGTCAACCTGGGCATTTCAAAGCCATCTCTTAAAAGAAGCTTTTCGCCACTCACGCAAAACCTGGGTTACAAGCAATTGCTGCGTTCACACAAGAGGGAACACCCGGGCGGAATGCCTGTCAGGGGGAAAAAATGATGGGGAAAAAAGAGAGAAAAGTGCCAAATTGCAACTGCACAGATCCAGGCGGGCCTCACCTGTCCTTGCTGTGCTCGGAAAGGAAGCCCTGGGAAGGCCTCACCTCCACCCAGTTCAGTGTCTTGATGGGGCTTCTGGCTGACATCTCTGAGCTGGCTGAGCAGAAGGTAGAGAAGTCGTGGGTGCCCGCCAGGAAAGTGGCTGCTTCCTGCATGGCGGCCAAGTTCAGGTGGCTAAAACAGAAGGAGGAGGAGGAGGAGGAGGATGAGCCATCAAGCCCTTTCGGACTCCTAGCAACTGTCTGATGGTCCCTATCTTTCATCGGACACCTGTTTCATTGTACACCTGTTGTGCATTGGCGATACATGTTTGGTTTGATTTGATTTGAACTTGTCCTCTTAAGGTTTCAGAGAAGGAAAATGCGCTGCAAACCCCCCCCGCCACTTCAATTGATCTGTTTCAACTCCCGCCCTCAAAACGAGGCTATAGAGCCCTGCACACCAGAACAACTAGACACAAGGGGAGTTTTTTCCGCAAAAGCCATCACTCTGCAAAACAAATATTTCCCTCAACACTGTCCAACCATTTACTACGTCTGCATTACTATAACTATTACCTTCTCATCTCTCCTTATCGCCTCTCCTCTCCCACTTGTGACTGTAGGACTGTAACCTTGTCGCTTGTATCCTTACGATTTATATTGACTGTTTCCTAGTATGGTTGGATTGCTACCCTATGACTATATTCTATTTACTATATTCCCTATGACTATCATCAAGTGTTGTACCTGATGATTCTTGACTCTTGGCAAATGTCTCTTTTCTTTTACGTGCACTGACAGCATTTGCACCGAGACAAATTCCTTGTGTGTCCAATCCCACTTGGCCAATAAAGAATTCTATTCTATTCTATTCTATTCAATGGCAGGCTGTTGGCTCCTTCAGCTGTTGAGACCATCACCTTTTCCCCATCAGCCTGGCCGAGGCTCGGAGAAAACTTGCTGAGCTGTCGAGATCTGACGATCCCCAAGCGAGAGACTCCGTGGCTCTTTCAAGTTACAGAACCAGCCACTCGTGGGAGAGGAAGCAGATTGCAGGCGCGTGTTCACGCACGTCCTGGCACATTCCTGTCACTGCATCATGTATGGGTGACCTGGTTACACTGTAGATGCCAGGGTCGTTTTCTCCAAGCCGGCTCTGAATGACTACTCAACCCAGATTGGTTGAAGATCTTTCAGGCCCAGCTGGGTCTTGTGTCTTCGACATTGTGGGCTCAAAAGTGGGGTGTGTGCAAGCAGGAAGCGGGGAACCCAGTGGCCGGATCCACAAACACAGGGGGGGGGGGGGTTCACCAACTTACCCGCGCCAGTTTGCCCAGCAGAGATCCTGTTCGAAGACTGGCAGGTCGGAATAGGTTGTGCAGCCTGTGGCCACGCGGTAGACGTAGGTCCTGGCCCGGGCCGAGAAGCGGGCGTGGAAGCTGTTGGAAACCCTACAGGCGCTCAGAACGCTTTGGGAAAGGAAAAGGGGAAGAGGAGGCAAATTGTAACAGATAGATAGATAGATCGATCTCCCTTCATTTTATGCACCCACCCACGACCCTCGGTCTCAGAGACAGACAGAGTTATCCAGTGAGTGTCCAGGACTGAGGTGTCAGGGTTCCAGCAATGCCTTGCATGTCGTCTGTAATGAATCCTTTGAAGTTTTTTGAAGTTTGGCTCGAGACTCATGATTTAATTAGGGCGATTGCTGGAATCCTGACAGCAAGCCAACTCTGGCCTAGGTCATTTACAGTCCCCTGTGACTCTGTTTCCCCACCCACCCATGTGGTCCGTGGGTTTGCAGTGAATCGGACACGACTTTGCAACTAACAACAACAACAAACCCAATTTAAAGGGGAATTATTAACCAGTGGAAACGGCCTGCCTTCCACCTGCCTTGTGGGCATTCCACCCTGGAGATTTTTCAGCAAGAGACCGGACATCCACTTGTCTGAAATGGCATAGGGCGTGTCGCTTAAGCAGGGGGTTGGACTAGAAGACCTCCAAGGCCCCTTCCAATTCTGTTATTTTAGGGCACATAATGTAGCCTTGCTTTTCAGGCCAAGGCACGGATCATTAGGCATTGTCAGAGAATCCTTCTGCAGGCTGGGCTTGTGGGGGGGCAGGAAAAGGGGAAGCGGAAAGATCTCAATGGAAAACAAGCTGGGTTGGCCTCCAAGCTGGGCTGGCAAACAAAGCAGAGATTAGGGGACAAAGCAGAGCTGGGGAGGGAAGGACAAGAGTGGGTGAGTGACCCTCAAACCCCTTTCCTCGTCTCTTGGCACAGGCCGGGGCCGAGGGGAAGGAGGGGTTGGTCCCACAAGGAGAGGGCAGCTTTTCAAACAGGCCTTTTGTTTAAAAAACCTCACACCAGAAAGAGGGGAGGGGAGGGGGAGAGAGAGAAGAGAAAAAGCCACATTGGCCGCGAGGGTGGAGACACAGATTTGATTCCATGTCGGTTCAGAGTTCAGGACACCAACTTGGAGGCTGAAACCAAGGAGAAGCCAGGAGGCCTGTGGGAAGAGGCGTCTTTTCGGTAGAGTGGGAACCAGTTCTCCCACCATGGCGCAGGCCACGGGGGCGAGAGGATCCACCTTTTCCTCCTCTTCCCCAAGGAGCTGAAGCCCGCCGGGAGGAGGAGGTGCGTGCCCCGAGATGGTGCCATGTTACGTGGGATGTCATAACAAGCGGAGGGAGATCGCCAAGGGAGAACGATCTGGCCGCGGGATCCACTCTGTGGTTTTACTCCCAGGGCCACTGGAAGAACGGCCCCATGGGGACGGATTGACTAAAACAAGCGCTAGAGCCACGGTTTTTAGGAGTCGGCAGGGACCCGGGAGGTCCACTAGTCCCACCCGCTGAGTTAATTCCATTCAGGCCCTACAGGCGAGCAGAGATTGGAAGTTCAGGTCTCTGGGTTTGCTCCCCGGCCACCAAAGAGATGATTAAACCTGTCATGCCCCTGTTCTGAGGGGGAGGTCGAACAGCTGACAGGGAGTGGGAGTGTGGCTCTGGTGGCTATGGAGGAAACTGGGGAAGGGCACAGTCCGGCTGGGCATTCAGAGGAAGACCCAGGCCCAACCTCTCTGCATTCCTAGGGCACACAGGGAGGAACAGAGAAGGGAGCAACGTGGGTTACGGGGGAGGAAAAGGCCCTGATTCCCTTCATTAGCTACAGCTGGGAAAACAGCGTGAATTTCTTTGTTTGTCAAGTCTTATCTGGGTTCTGGCGTCCTCCCAACTGTGTTTGTTTCGTTATCTTTTGACGTCTTCAATCCCACCCTGTCTCATTAGTTGCTGCAGTGTAGTTTGTGTTGGTTTTTGTTTATAATCTATATGTACTTTGGGTCCGGACTGAATTTCTTCCCTTTCAAAACTGTTCTTGGGAGAGTTTTTTTTTCTCCAGCCGATGATAACTGGACATTGGGGGCCAAGTTGGAGGAATGAAAGGGACTTTACCTACTTTTGTGACTTTGTGGCTTTTGTGCCACGCCCCTTGGGGTCATCACCAAACCCACATTTTTTTCTGGCAACGTAAGAAAACTCACCGGATGGGCTCGGAACTGAGATGCTTGTTGAGCACCTGGACAAGAACCTCTTCAGAGAAGCGGGGCTGCCCCTCCTTCCTCTGGAGGTCAAGATGGGCCGTGTTGCAGAGGGCGTGCACCCCAGCATCTGTGCGGCTGGAGACGACAAATTTGACCGGCTCAGTTGCTCTGAGATTTTCTGCAGCCTTCTGAGAAATCGGGGGAAAAAACAGACCCTCAGATTTGGGTATTTTTTAAAAGATATTTACACATTTATAGCTGGAAAAGCTGGAAGAGAAACACACACATTTTGTTTTATGCAGTCTGGTTGTCTGGAAAATGTTTTTTATTTTTATTTTTTAACTTAGGTGACCAAGTGCAAAGAGCCAGTTGCAAATCCTCCCCTTTTTAAGGACGTGGCAAGTTAAGGGGGTCGGAGAAAAATTGGGGAAGCTCTCACAGATGGGGGAGAGAGGGAAAGGAAGGGGAACAGGATCCAGTAGGATCTGGTTGCAGATAATCATTCCCAAGCCCAGCCGATTTATTATTATTTTTTCCCTTCAGCTCTCCTGCATTTCCTTCCCTTTGTTTCTCCAAAGAGCTGAGCCTCTCCTGAGCATCTGTCCTGATGTTTTTTGATTGCCTGAGAAGAAATTCTTGGCCCCGGCACAGACTTTGCGGGGGGGACGCCAGGAAAAAGATGTCTTTAAGCAGAGATCTCTTCTGGATAGCTTTTGTTGCAAAAAAATAAAAATAAAATAAAAATAAAAAAGTGGGGCGGGTGGAAGTGAAAAATCCAAGCCAGGGAGGTAGACACCCCCTTCTCCCATATCCCAGCCAGGCACAGTAAAAAAAAAAAAAATGGAAAGCAACACACACAATTCAGCCATGCTGGTTTCTTTTGGGAAAGCTCCAGATTTGGGGAATCGCCCTCGGGGAGAGCCGCCGGCCCAATTTTGCCATTTCCCTCTCCTTTCGTTTGGGTAATAAAACCGCTCCGGCGGCTGTTTCTTTCTCAACGGTGGTTTAGCCCCGGAATGGAGGGGATCTCTTTTGGAGGGGAACCACACCCAGCTACCCAGGTTGATCTCTTAAAAAGATGCCCACAGGGGTGGACCAGGTCCCTAGTTGGGAGCCCAAACCAGCCAGAAGGAGCCCAACAGCGCAGGGGCCAAAGCCAAGCTAAGCTCCAACTCAAGGTAGGTGATGACTTTGGGCCAGAGGTGATAAATTCAGTTGGTTCTGACCGGTTCTGGAGAACCAGTAGCGGAAATTTTATGTAGTTCAGAGAACCAGCAAATCCCACCTGTCTGGCCCCACCAATCTGCCTCCCATCAAGTCCCAGCTGATCGGCTGGGTCTTCTTTGGTTGCCCCGCACAGGAGAACGGAGCTGGAAAGCAGGTCAGTAGGGGATTTTTGCAGGGTCCTTCCCCTGCCACACCCACCGAACCGTAAGTAAAACAAATTTGAATCCCCCCACGGCTTTGGGCCTTTCTCTTCTAGGCGTGGAAAAGCCGAGCCCCCTCTCCTGAAAGCAAATGGGGGGGACACCCCCCCCCCGCCACACACACCTTCCCACCCCGGATGGTGGATCAATCCTAAACCAGTTCCTTACCTCGAGGTGATTTTCCACACCAACTGCTGGCATGCTGGGGGGCAGAGCCTTCACACCACTGCAGGGGGAGAGAGAGAAAAAAAAAACGACAACAGTGAAACTCACTTTCTTTCACAGCGGGGTCAACGCAACACCTGCTGGGTTCCAACAGGTGCCTTGAAAAGACGAGAGGGAACCCCAATCTCGGTTTGTTCTTCACCACTTTTTCTTTCTCTCACGGTTTCCCTGCCCAGCAGTCTCAAATGGATTCCCAGCAGAGAAATTCTGTACGTCCTTCCTGGCTATCTAGAATTCCTTTATTTATTTTTCCTCTGAACCTTTTTTTTTTCCTTGGCCTGTTTGCCCCTCGGCCAGTTGTCCTTCAACTACGTGCCCAGGTGTGCTCATCCCTGGCACACCCCAAAGGAACAGAGAGAGAGAGAGACATGGCACAACTAGTAACGGTGGCAATTCTTGAACCCAATACCCACAGCATCGTACTCTTTCCTACTGGTCCCAGCTGAGCAGGCCCATCCCCGCAAAATTAACTTGTTCAGCTGCCTTAGCACCTCTGGATGTTCCTGTTATTCCAACAGCGGCTTCTCTTCCCCACTTTTTAAAGCATAATACAGATAATTACGGTAATAATTACTATTCCCCATTCACTCTCTCCTTTTAGTCTGGAAGTTTAAAGCAAGCAACGGTTCTGAAGGCAAAGAACCAAAATATATCCACTCGGGGTAGGTTAAAAGAAGAATATTTTTTTTTTTTGCTAAGAATGAGTGGCACGGGCTTTTGTGTGAAGTAATTGCCTTTTTAATAATAAAATGCCTAACAAGATTAAAAAGCAAATGAAAATATTAAAGTGGCAGGTGCAGACACAAATCCTTATATGAATAACAGCTGTCACTGACATGCTAAATTCCAATTATTCGAATTCTTCCTGCCATCACTCAACCTGGCAAATTTCTCGCTGTCTAAGAACATCCCCCCTACCCACCCCCCACTCTGCTCTGGGAGCCCTGTGGTTTTGTGAAAGACTAAGAGCAAAAATAAATAAATAAATTACTTGAACCCAGCCGTTTTTCAATCCCGAGAGCGATGCCTCTCTATGGGATTCAGAGGAATATTTAAAAAAAAAAAAATCTAACGAGTTCTTTGGCCTAAAAAAGTTGGGAAAAACCTCTTGTCCTGGCTAACAAATTACCTTGACTGTCAAAACTTGGGAGGGGGAAGGGGGGGGGAATGGGATAATCCTCCCTTATTCTCCCAAATGGCTGAGTTTATCTATGTTGTGCCCCAAAAGAGGACTTCAAAATCAATTCTGAAGCAAGAGTCGCATGTCACAAAGGCTCGGCTGGGTTCCAACAATATGGAAATGCGATATATTTCCCCATTTCACTTGCGACGGCTACTTCAAGCCTTGTGGTTCTTGAAAGATGAGCCTCTGGGGACCTGGATGACTTTCCCCACTCCTGTCTTATTAAAAAGTTCAAACTATGTTGTTTCTCTCCTTAGTGGAGCAGAATAACAGAATTGGAAGGGACTTTGGAGGTCTTCTAGTCCAACCCCCTGCTTAGGCAGGAAACCCTACATCATTTCAGACAAATGGCCGTCCAATCTCTTAAAAACTTCCATTGTTGGAGTACCCACTTAGTTCTAAGTTGCTTCTCTCCTTGATTAGTTTCCATCCGTCGCTTCTTGTCCTGCCTTCTGGCGCTTTGAAAATAGGCTGACCCCTTCTTCTCTATGGCAGCCCCTGAGCTATTGGAAGACTGCTATCATGTCACCCGTGGTCCTTCTTTTCATTAGACTAGATATACCCAATTCCTGCAATTGTTCATCATATGTTTGAGCCTCCAGTCCCCTAATCCTCTTTGTTGCTCTTCTCTGCACTTTTTCTAGGGTCTCAACATCTATTTTATATTGTGGCGACCAAACGGGATGCAGTATTCCAAATGTGGCCTTACATGACAACACAGCGACAATAGAATAGAATAGAATAGAACAGAATAGAATAGAATATAGAATAGAAGAAAGAGAATAGAATAGAATAGAATAGAATAGAATAGAATAGAATAGAATAG